CTCCTCCTCCTCATCCTCCTCCTCCTCCTCCTCCTCCTCCTCCTCCTCCCCCCTCCCTCCTCATCCTCCTGCTCCTCCTCATCCTCCCTACTCCTCTTCCTCCTCCTCCTCCTGCTCCTCATCCTCCCCCCGCTGCTCCCTCCCTTACTCCTCCTCCTCGTGCTCCTCCTGCTCCGTCTCCGCCTACTCCTCCTGCGACTTCTCCTGCTCTCCGTTATAATTCTGCTCCTCCGCCTCCTCCTCCTCCTCATCCTCCTCTTCCTCCTCCTCCTCTTCCTCCTGTTCCTCCTCCTACTGGTCCTCCTGCTCCTGGGATCTGCACGTTGATGACATCATCTTCGTATTTTCAAACAAATATGTGTTACTTAACAGTGTTTCGGATGGCGTACAAGGTAAATAAGCCTACAAGCCAAAACCTTCAAAACCTTAGGATGTTTAGCAACTTTTAATAGAAAATATTCGCTTCGCCTGGTACAATCTGCCAAAACAGCCTCTGGGAACCGTCGCCCAAGAGAACCCCACGGAGCTCCAAGAGGCCCAAAGAGGCTCCAAGAAGGTTCAAATATTGTCAAAAAGGCCCCAGTACTATTCCCCAAGCGGGCTTCAGGGGTCTCCCAGAAGCCCCAAATAGGGGAGGCGGTGGTGATTCGCCGTAGGCGTCTTCGATCTACAAGGAGACTATTAATATTTGCGCTGACTGTACGTGGAAAACTTGTTTTCCAAAAAGAATTAAACGGAAACGTGCGAAGGATACGAAATCGTGTTGCGACTTCTCCTATCCGCCTCCTCCTCCTATTCCTCCTCCTCCTCCTCCTCCTCATCATCATCATCTTCCTCCTCCTCCTCATGGTCCTCCTCCTACTTCTCCTGCCAATCCTCCTGCTGCTCCTCATCCTACTCCTTATATGTTCCTCCTACGCCTACTACTCCTCCTCCTACTCGTCCTACTCATCATCCTACTATTCCCCCTGCTCCTCCTGCTCCTCCTCCTCCTCCTGCACAACTTGTATTTGAAAATATGCGTTTCGCCTGGGGCAATCTGCCAAACCAGCCTCTGGGAACCTTCGCCCAAGAGAACCCCACGGAGCTCCAAGATGCCCAAAGAGGCTCCAAGAAGGCTCAAATATTGTCCAAAAGGCCCCAGTACTATTCCCCAAGCGGGCTCCAGGGGTCTCCCAGAGGCCCCAAATAGGGGAGGCGGTGGTGATTCGCCGTAGGCGTCTTCGATTTACAAAGAGAATCTTAACCCTTGCGCTGACTGTACGTGGAAACCTTCTTTTCCACAATGAATCAAATGGAAACGTGCGAATGATACGAAATCGTGTTACGACTTCTCCTCTCCGCCTCCTCCTCCTCTTCCTCCTCCTCCTCCTCCTCCTCCTCCTGATCCTCCTCCTACTTCTCCTGCTAATCCTCCTGCTGCTCCTCCTTCTACTCCTTATCGTTTCCTCCTACGCCTCCTCCTCCTCCTCCTACTCGTCCTACTCATCATCCTACTCTTCCTCCTGCTCCTCCTGCTCCTCCTCCTCCTCCTCCTGCTCATCCACCCCCTCCTTACTCCTCATCCTAATCCTCCTGCTGCTGCTTCCTCATCCTCCTCTCCTCTTCCCTCTCCCTCCCCCCCTTCCGCGCGTACCCCGTCCCGTCGTCCCCGTACTTCCTCCCCTCCTACCTCCTCTTCGTCCCTCCTCCTCCTCCTCCTCCTCATCCTCCTCCCCCCCCCCTACGCCTCCTCCTCCAACCCGATCCTCATCCTCACCTAATTCCTCCTCCTCCTCCTCCTCTACCCTACCTCCAATAATCAGTCCTACTCCCTCCCCTCCTACCCCTCGCTTATACTTCTCCTCCTCCAACTGCGTTGCGGGATATTCCGAAAGCGCATACTGGTTCACGGAATTCTGTCGCCACACAAAGCTTATCACACTGCCCGTCATCGTTGTTCGAGCCGCAAGGTCAGTGCGCGCGAGGACAGAAAAAACATTCATCAACAAACATAAGCCACCCTCCCACATCTTAATCCTTGCGCTGGCTGTACGTGGAGAGCAATCAATGAATCAAATAAAACATGCGAATAATTCTTACGCCGGTTCACCTTCGGAAACCTTGTTGCGCCTCCTCCTCCTCCTCCTCCGCCTCCTCCTCCTCCTACTCCTCCTCCTCTTGCTCCTCCTCATATTCCTCCTCCTCCTCCTAATCCTCCTCCTCTACTCCTCCTCCTCCTACATCTTCTCCTCATCCTCCTCCTCCTCCTCATCCTCCTCCTACTCCTACTCGTCCTACTCATCATCCTACTTTTCCTCCTACTCCTCCAGCGCCTCCTCCTCCTGCTTCTCCTCCTGCTCCTCCACCCCCTCCTCCTCATCCTGCTCCTCCTTACTCCGCCTCCTCCTCCTCCTCCTCCTTACTCCGCCTCCTCCTCCTCCTCCTCATCCTCATCCTTCTCCTCCTTACTCCTCTTTCTCTTTCTCCTCCTCCTCCTCCTACTCCTACTCCTCCTCCTCCTCCTCACCTTATTCTCCTCCTCCTCCTCCTCCTCCTCCTCCTCCCCCTACTCCTCCTTCCTCCTCCTCCTCCTCCTCCTCCTCCTCCAACTCATCCTCATCCTATTCCTCCTCCTCCTCCTCCTCCACCTCCTCCTCCTCCTCCTTACTCCTCCTACTCCTCCTCATCCAACTCATCCGAAGATGTACAGTGCGCGCGAGGACAGAAGAACATGCATCAAGAACGCCAGCCCCTCCGATGGGGAAAAGCCCCTCCGCTGGGGACGAAAACGAAGCCAGCCTCCTCCTCCTCCTCCTACTCCTCCTCCTACTCCTCCTGCTCCTCCTCTTCCTCCTCCTCTTAATCCTCCTCCTCCTACTCCTCCTCCTCCTACACCTTCTCCTCATTCTCTGCGCAGCCGCTGCGGCCCGACACACTGGCCCCTCGGAGGCCCGAAGCAGCGAGGAGCCGGCCGCCTCGACTTCTGTCGAGCCGCCAGACCGTCCGGTGAGGTGGTCCCTCCGCCCTCCTCCGCCCTCTTCCGCCCTCCTCCGTCCTCCTCCGCTCTCCTCCGCCCTCCTACGCCCTCCTCCGCCCTCCTCCTCCTCCTCTTGCTTCGCCCTCCATCCCCTCCCTCCTGCTGCTACCTCCGCCCTCCTCCTCCTCCGCACTCCTCCTCCGCCCTCCTGGGGGACAACGCTCGGCGGGTGCGCCGCGAGGGCGCCTCCCGGCCGATCCCTGGGCAGGCCTCCCAGCGGGCCGACGAGCTCAGAGAGCAGCAAGGGGGCCTCGCGCCGCCCGAGCGCCGGCGAGATCGGCCGAGGTCTCGGAGGACGGATCGAGGTTCAAGGATCGAGGACCGAGGTCGTCGTCAGGTCGTCGTCGTCGTCGTCGTCGTCGTCGTCGTCGTCGTCGTCGTCGTCGTCGTCGTCGTCGTCGTCGTCGTCGTCGTCGTCGTCGTCGTCGTCGTCGTCGTCGTCGTCGTCGTCGTCGTCGTCGTCGTCGTCGTTCGTCGTCGGTCGTCGTCGTCGTCGGTCGTCGTCGGTCGTCGGTCGTCGGTCGTCGGTCGTCGGTCGTCGTCGGTCGTCGGCCGTCGGCCGTCGGTCGTCGGCCGTCGGTCGTCGGTCGTCGGTCGTCGGTCGTCGTCGGTCGTCGGTCGTCGGTCGTCGGTCGCCGCCGTCGTCGGTCGTCGTCACAGAGAGGAGGAGGAAGAGGAGGAGGGGGGGGAGGAGGAGGAGGAGCGAGGATGGAGAAGGGACAAGGGACGAGAGAGGAGGGAGGAGGGAGGGTAGGGGGAGGAGAGACGAGGTGCGAGAAGGGGGAGGGAGGACGAAGCGGAGAGAGGCAGAGGAGGCGGATGATGAGGCAAGGCGTACCAAGCAGCCACTTTCATCTGTGTGTGCTTTCCAATGGGGGGGTATCCTTGGTCGGGGTTGGTGAAGTGGGCACCCCGAACCAGCGATATTTTCTCTCCCCTCCGATGGTCCTCCTTCTCCGATTAGCGGGCCAGGATGGCACGCGGGCTGAGAGACGGCCTTCAAGCTCGCACCCTCGCTCTGAACCAAACAGCAAGCAATATTTGCTTAACTTGCCTCCCGCCGCGCAAGTGCGGCCGCAAAACGTACACACAAATTGCTCTGCCGTTGCATGAGACGGCCTTCAGACACGCACTTCACGCCGGCAAATTATTGGAAACCAGACGGGGGAGGGGAGGGTAGGGCACTCTTGGGAGGCATGGAAGAGGGAAGGAAGACGTCGGGCGTCACAAAGTCACGGTGCTGGGCTTCGCTCCAGCATCACTTCGGGGCATCTGGCCGCCCTCTACGGAGGCTCTCATGACGCAGGAACGCCACAAAGTCACGGTGCTGAGCTCCAGACCAGCATCGCTTCGGGGCATCTGCTCGCCCTCTACAGACGCTCAAATGTTGATTTCCTCCTCGGCCACCGGAATGGCCCCCTCCTTGGCCCCCGAGGCCGCCCGGAGACAGCAAAAGTACGAGACTCCATCAGGCACCCAACTGTCCCCCAACGGAAAAATCTAGCAGAAGCGGCTGCGCTGTGATTCTCTCTCGCCGCTCTGGCTGGCCCTCGAGTTGGATCTAAGCCACTGTTGGTTCCTTGGGCGCGGGTTTCTGGAAGGCGGGGTCACTGGCGCCGCAGAACATGCCGCCCTTGTCGGCCCAGTAGAACGCCGGAGAGGTCATCGCCCAAAAGATCACGTAGGCACCGTGGACCTTGAACGGGAGCAGGGTGTCGATGGGCCCAAGGGTGTTGTAGAAACACCACAGGGCGATCACGGCGCCCAAGTTCCCGCCCGCCCCCACCAGCGCGGATGTGCACGCGAGCTGCTTCGGGTTCATGAACGGCACGATGCCGTAACTGGTGCCCTCGGTCATCTGCACGAAGAGAGAGAAACACAGCAAGACGGCCAGGGCGACGTACCATGGCTGCGAGTTCTCCACAGATCCGAAGCCGAGCAGGAAGATGCCCTCGAGGAAAAGGCAGAGGAACTGAGCCCAAATACGGCCAGAGAAACCGAATCTGGCGAAAAGAAAATCGCTGAAGATGCCGCCCAATGAGCGCGCGAACAAGTTCATCAGGCCGAAGGAGCCTGCCAGGGCAGAGGCAGCGCCGGCCTCCATCTGGAAGTAGACGCGGAAATGGGTGGCCAGCTGCGCGTTCATGACCAGCTCCGTGCCAAAGCAGGCGCCGTACTGGAAGATCATAATGACGATCCTGGGGTCCTTCAGGCACTCCACGTAGTCCCACATCGACGCGTTTGATGTCTTGCCCGTGTCGCTGGTCTTGAAGCGGGGCCCCGTTGGCATGTCCCAGCAAAACAGCTTCATGCTGATGGCAACCGCGACGAAGACGCAACCGGGGACGACCATGGACAGGCGCCAGGCCGTGTCAGAGCTCGCGCCCATCTCCTGGAAGGGCTTGAACAGGCACCACACGATGAATATCTGTGTGACGCCGCCGCCGAGGTTGCCCCACCCCGCTGCGGTCGCGTTGGCGGTGCCCACCACGTTCGGGGCGAACATGAGGGAGCACCAGAACTGATTTGTGACGAACGTGGCCCCCGCGCAACCGATCATCATGCGGATCCGCCGGCCCCCGCTTGCCAGAGGTGACAAGGCGTGCGAGACAGTTGGCTGTCCCACTTCCCCTTTCCCCCTCCCCCCTCCCCAGGGCCCAAAATCACCGTTCAGGCAGGGGGGGGGCACGAGCTCCCCGGGGGTTGGGGCACGAACTCCCCGGCGCATGCCCGGGGCCCCCAGAGCCCCCAAATCTGCACTCCGCGGCCTCCAAGATGTCCACCATGCCATTGAAGCTGGAGCTGGGCTCCAACACGTCGAGGAGGCCTCAAAAACACCAAAGATGGCCTCCAGACGGCCCAAGAGGGCTCCGAGACGACCCCAGAAAAAGTCCCAAGAAGCAAAAACCGTCCCAATACGCTGGGAAAACGTACATGCTTTGCGTATTCGCTTCTTTGCTCTTAACAGCGTCCAACGCTGCCCTGGAGGCCCCAAAGAGAACTCCAGGACGGCCCAAGAAACTCCCAAGAGGGCCCCAAGACCACGAGGGGCATTTCGAACCGACACTTTGAGTCCCCCGGCCCTCGAGGGTACTCGATTGCACCAACGGGAGCTCAAGAACCTGACCGGACAAGAACGGGAAGCGCCGCTTTAGCGAGCAAGCTTGTCAGAGGATGTATGGTTGAGAACGTCAAAGAAACTCAGAAACGTAACACCTCAGACCAAGACATGTACTAAATGTCGGTTCATTGTGCTGGTCTGCCTTGCTGGTCTGTCGAGCTAGTGTGCCGCCCTGGGCGCATGATGGACCTCGTGGGCCGTCGAGGGCTCTTGGAGCTCACTTGGGCCCTTTGGGGCCCTCTTGGGAGCCTTTTCGAGGGCCTGTTGGGAGCCTTCGGGGAGCCTCTTGGGGGCTTCTTGGGCCCTCTTGGGCTGTCTGGGCGCGTCTCGAGGGTATGCGCGGGCTCTCTTGGGCCATCTTGGCGCCCTCTTGGGCCGTTTTGGGGCTTTCTTGGGCAGTATGGGAGCCTCGTCCGGCGCTCTTGGGGGCCTCTGGGCGCCTCTTGGGGGCCTCTTGGGTGCCCCTTGGGGCGCTTTGGGGTTCCTCCGGGGAGCCTTTGGGTACTCCTTCGGGCCATCTTGGAACCCTCCGGGAGCGATTCCACGATGATGTTGGCTCAGAACCCCTTCCGGAACCGATTTTTTGAGAATGCCCCCTAGCGAAACGGCAATTTTTCAGAAACCTGACCGGACAAGAACGGGGATGGCCGCTTTGTCAACGAAGCCTGCCAGAGAATGTCCTGCTGAGGACGTCACAGAAACTCAGAAACGTAGACCAACAACGCAGCAGTACGGCAGACGAGCACGGCAGACCACAGCAGAACGGCAGACCAGCACGGCAGACCACAAGTGAACGGATGACCAGCACGGCAGAACGAGAAGGAGCACAGCAGACCAGCACAGCGGACCACAGGAGCACGGCAGACCATCATGGCAGACCACAGTAGCACGGCGGACCAAAACGACAGTCTATAGGAGCACGGCAGACCAACACGACAGACCACAGGAGCACGGCAGTCGACAGGAGCACGGTAACACAGGAGCACGGCAAACCAACACGGGACACCACAGCAACATGGCAGACCACAATAGCTCTACAGACCAACGCGGCAGACCACAGGAACACGGCTGACCAGCACGGCAGACCACAGGAGTACAGCAGACCAGCACGAGCTTCATATGTATTGGGATGGTACCGAAAACTTGCATGTTTGATGATGTTTGCAGCGGCAGCTACATTTCGAAGAAACCAAGAATTCGGAATATACTTCAACGTTGCATGTTCGCGAGGATGTCTGCAGAGAGAGAAAGAGAGAAAGAGAGAGAGAGAGAGAGAACCTCACTTTTAAGGAACATCGTCGGATGGCAGATCCTCCTACATTCCCATTTGGGGAGGATGTATCAGGTGAAACGTTTGTGCTTGCAAAAGCGATGCTGGTAAATTATTAGTTTGATGAGGATGCCCCTAGCGAAATCGTATTTTTTTGTCGTCTTGAGGGCGCTCGTGGGGTCATCCTGGGGCCCATGTGGGGCTCTTTTGGGAAGTATTGAAGCTATCACGACATGGTTAGAATATTACGCTCGGAAGATATCATGTTTGAGGATGTCCCTAGCGAAACCGTCGTTATCGGAAGGCTATTTGGGGCTATCCTGAAGCAGTTTGAGAGCGATTCCAATACGATGTTAAGCACGCGTTTCTTGAAGGGCGATGTCAGATGTGTTTCATGCTTTGAAGTTATCCCAAGCGAATCGTAATTTTCGGCAGCCTTGAGGGCGTTATTGGAGCCATCTTGGGGTCCTTTTTGGGATATTGTTTCTCTGCCTTGAGGCACTTAGAAAACGATACCATTCAGATGCTGGGAACTTTTGAAATGTTGAGGATGTCCCTGGCGAAATGGCAACTGTTGGAAACGACGTCGAAACATACAGCTGCGTTGGTCTGCCGTGTTCCTCATACTTTTCTGAGGATGTCTGCAGCGAGAGCGTCGATTTCAACATAAAAGGTAGTCCGCCGACCCCCGCTTGCCGGAGGTGAAAAGGCGTATGAAACATTTGGCTGTCCCCCTCCCCCTTCCCCCCTCCCCAGGGGTCCAAAATCCGATTAGAGGGGGGGGCCAGGGGAGGGCGGGGGGGTGGAGGGACGAGCTCCCCAACGCACCCTGGGGGCCCCCAGAGCTTCCAAAAAAAAAAACCCCAATACGGGCCAAGAGATCCCCAAGAGACCCCCAAGACGCTCCAAGAGGGCCCAAAATAGCCGAATGATCGCTCCAAAACGCCCAAGATGGCCTCCAGACGGCCCAAGAAGCCTCCAAGACGCCCCAAGAGGCCTCCCGAGAGGGCCCCAAGAAGCAAAAACCATTGCTTTTCCTGCAGTTTTTGACAGTGTTTGGCCTCTCGCCTTTTCGGCTTCCCGACGCTCCAAGACGGCCTGAGAGGCCCCCAAGATCGCCCCAAAACGGCTCAAAAGGCCCCCAAGACGGCCCTGGGACGGCCCGAGAGGGCCCCAAGACAGTCCAAGAGGTGCCCAAGGCAACCCAAGAGGGCCCTGAGACGGTCCCAAGTGTCAACGATAATGGGCGCACGATGTCTTTCATCGCTGCAAGCTCCGCGACGTCGAGCGTTATGAAAGTGGTCGCCACGCGATCAATCACACACAGCAGTCTGAAATCAGGGAAACCCCAGGCAACGACTGGAGCACATCTGATAACTTGTTATCTGCTGATATCTCAAAAATGGATAAATGGATCCCCTGATATGATTAGAGCACAAAAGGCAGCGGCACACAGCTTGTGATGTTATGTTGTGTTAACAAATCCTCGAACACCTAGTGAATTGAAAAATATCAAAACTGTTTGATCTACTGCGCTTCGAGCTGAGCACAAGACCTGCTCATCTTCACACATAGTATACATTTTGCAGCTACGAAACTGGGGATCAGCAGCTTGCATGAAGAGCCTTACACTGTAAGAGACAGTGCGCTGTCTGAACCTGCATTCAGCATTGGTGCTCCAGCACCTGTCGAAGAAACACTGCCGCGTGCTCACGTTAAAACGAGACAAGTCCCAACCACGGTTGTAATGATTGACGATCCTCGCCACAAGGTCCACCTTGATGCCTGACACCGGGAGCTTCAACTCGCGCAAAATCCCTTGCAATGCGTAGTTCGGCATGGCGTTTAGCTTCCTCTCGATGTCTGCAGGCGCCCGCCTCGCAAGGTCGTCGGTCTTCATCTTGTCGATGGCGGATGGCCCCGCGATGCCCGCCAATATGGCGATGCTGGAGCGAGGCGTCGTATGTGTGTCCGGTGGCTTGTTGAAGTCGAATCCGGCGGCGCGCAGGCGCCCCTCGGCGGCGCTGCATGCAGTAGCCTCCGGCACATGCTGAATTATCTGCTTAGCCCCCTGCCCCTTGGACAGACATTGAAACAAAAAACGAAACGCGGCCATGATCAGCGCCCCGATGGAAACTCCAAGAGCAAGCACTCCGGACGGCGAAAGCAAAGACTGCGACCACTAATCGAACGGCTCCACCTGGGCGCGTGAAGCTTGTCGATGCATCGATGGGTCACGCGCTGCATTCGCTGCAGTACCTGCTGCAAAGAACGGGGGAGCTGATCCCGATGAACAGCTGCTTGCCAGTACGCCTGAAAACAACGCTGCACGCATCGCGCGCGACGACGCGAAACTCACTGCGGAACTCACTTCAGCTGTATGCGCGACCTCGTGTACGTCAATCCTGCTTAATGTCGTCCATGGCGCTGTGATCTGTTGGGCGTGCGTAGTTGGCGTTGAGAGTGTCTGCGTCCTCCTGTAGCTCCACCCGTTGGGATCGATGTAGCTCCTCCCGCAGGTCGGTGAGCTGGCGCTTCCGGAAAGGAGGTGCACGGGGATCTGGTCCGAAATACCAGAGGTCCTCATGAAGGACTCGGTCTTGGCAGGGTGTATCCATCTTCTCGGCGAGCCCGTCGGCTAGCTGTTGTCCTGGCCATGCCCGCTTGATACCTCCACGCTGGCACTCCTGCCTGATAATGGCAGCCTCGAGTGAAAGCCTCCGGTCGGATAAGTGGGCGCGCTCCTTGACCGTGCAATCCCATAGAGAACGAGAGCCGGTAACCAAAACACCTTGCCAATATTCAGCTGCATAACGGTACTCATGGCCGAGCTTGTTGGGAGAAAAAATGCATGCGCACGCTGCGCGAGCCCAGAACGTCACATCTTGAGCTTCCGAACAACCGTAGCCCTCCGCTGATAGGCCACTCCGTACAGCACGTCCGATACGTCCGCTTGACCAGGATAAAAGTATGCATGGGTAGAGCTTGGCGTGGTCCTCCGTCATGTCGCCATCTCCAACAATGATGTAACATCCGCGCTGGCTCTCGTGGTTCGGCACGTTGTCGAATGAGGCGTCGCGCGGGGCGATGGCCACAGACTTCTCGAGTTCAAAACCTCCACGAAACATCATCACCATCTCCCCCTCGCGGCGGATAGAACGAACAAGCTTGTTCATGTCCTTCATGTCCTGCACCGTCGGTTGAGTCAGCTGGCCTGCCAGCCTGGATGCCTCGAAGCTGTACTTGTGAAGCAAAAGCCGTACCACCCACTGAACCTGTCCATTCATGCCTCCTAGCGCTCGGTGTTCAGCTGCGGTGAACTTCTCCTTCTCCCGCCTAAACCTCTCAAGGGCCATTCGGTAGTCGGTCATGCCGTCGATGCACTCGCCGATGTCGATCGATATTACATAGTCATGGTCCTGCTTGAAGCGTCGGCCCGTACATGCCGCTCCTTCTGGTGTGCTCTGCACAGAACTCTACCTGCTCCTTCAGCTTCTTGATGGTGCTGCTGCAAAGCTCGCGGTTGTTCTCCATGTCGAAAGCGATGAACATATCGTCGATGTGTAAGCACAAGAGACCCACCAGCATGCCACGATGTATGAGTCTGAACGCGGCCGTCTCGAACTGCAGCTGCTCGGAGCCAATCGAGAACAGGATCGGGACGATACGCATGCACCGCGCCCATGCCGCGTCGTTGGCCCCGTAGATGCTCTTGTTGGGCTTGAGTAGCCCCCCCCCCCCCCCCTCGAGTCCAGGCATGCCCGTGCCCGGTAGGTTCTCGGGCAACATGAAGTACAGCTCCATCTCGATCTTGACTCCTTGCAGAAACGCGCCAGCAGCGTCGCCAGTAAAGCATGAAAGCCGCTTGCATGCTGCAATGCTGCAAACCAGGTTCTGATGGCGAGCGAGTCGGGGAGTCGCTGCGTAACTTCTCGTCGTACTTTTCCTGGAAGCCTTTGCCGACGACCCGGCGCTTGGGCTGGAAGTCGGCGTCGTAGTCGCTGCCCTTGTTCGTCCGTGCGGCACGACTCTCGATATGCAACGCCTTGTCGATATTCTTGGCCATCGTCGGTGCGATGGCCGTGACTGCGTCGTACTTGGACCAGGTACCCCACTCCTTGACAAGCGCGTTGAGGGTCTTCTCCGCGCGCTCCTGACTGCATCCGTCGTCATTAGTGAACACCTCCGTGACGTTGATCTCCGCCATGGTCACCCGATCGGCTCGTTCGGCAGAAAAGGCCTCGCACAGCACCTGGTTGGTAGCATGCGCTGTACGAGCGCGCTTGCCCGTGGCGGTCGCGGCAATGTCGTGCCCGATGTGTGCGCGCTCCGCGCAGACTGTCTGAGACGCCGGGGTCTTCCGCTTGAACTTCTGTCGCGCACGTTGTCGTTGCGGGGCGCTAGGTTCCCGAGGTGCACGGTCAGCTGCTCGCGCAGGCTGACTCCTTGGACTTGTTGGGAGGCGCAGCTGCTGGAGGCGGATTGTCTAGCCCATTGGATTGGGGAGGCCCTCTCGGTGCCGGACCTTCTGCCCCATCTCTTTGCGGCGGTGTATCTCCTCCTGGATCACGTCCTCCCGATGAATATTGCTCGGCCCTCTAGGTATATTCCGCCGCGATGTCGAGCATGTCCATGTCGCGCACTAGAGGAATATCGAAAGGAACCTCCAGACTGTTGCGTGACAAGTCCTCCCAAATAGCCTTGGTGATGCAGTTAAGATATGCGTCGTCTCAGTAGCTTGTCCAGCGGGATGACATCCTCTCCCGGAACTGTCGTCGTCGCACATCTTGCAATCCGTGTAGCTAGAATGGCGTCGTGAAGGCCGCGGGACTCAGTGCCGACGATCAGGGGCCATGACTCCGGCATGCTGCACGAGCCATCTGGCCACTCCACCTGCACGCGCCGCCGCCGAGCCAGTGGTTGATCTTCATCATCTCCGTCACGAGCTAGAACTCAGCCCATATGCTGCGCATGGGGGTTCCGGTGGCTGTGCAGGCGCAGGTGGTGGCTGAGGTTGTAGTCCATGCTGTAGCGGCTCCCTTGGCGCGGTAAACGCGGTGTTCCGAAGGTCCACAAAGCCGCGCCGTCCACGCGGTGCCCCCTGCCATTCTCGTTGATCGACGGGCATGCGGTCCTCGAACTCGTTGAGCGTAGATCTCCGTAGGATGTTCGGTCCTGCTAGGATGGGCATCCCGTTGTGAGTCAGCCAGTAGCCACACTGATCACATCCAATAACTCGAGCTGGCCCATGCCATTCCCGATGCAGATCTCGCTTGCCTCCACCTGTTCGCCAATAGTGGGCCCACTCGCCACGCTCGCAAGGCCCAGGCTGAGGTCGGGTATTCGATAGCACCGCTCGTCGTAGAGCTGAGCTGTTGGCTGCCTGGTGGACTGCGATCTCACATGTTCCCTGTAATTGTGATCGGTGCCACGTGAGAGATCCGCGTGCTACTTGTCCTGCGATCACCGGGTCGGCGTTGAGATCTCCAAATGATGCTGGTGTAAATGGATTTTCGCCAAGAGCCCGTTGAGATGGAGAGAAGCCCTTGTTGTTAGAGAGTCGGTTGATGGTCTGGGCGATATGATATCCAACAATATTTGCCCCCGTCGTCTCTCGCCTCGAGCTCGTGAAACACCTTTGTAGCCATCTCCTTGAAGAACCTGATCTTCCTCTCCAACTTTCCATGCAGCTGGCGTTCTTCTGGTGCCACTCGAAAGCATGGAATTCCAAGGTCCTCGCACATAGCCTCGAACTCCAGACGAAAAGCTGCGTCTGGGTCGATGTGAAGATTCCGCGGCGTCATCAAATTGCGCTGCCGGCCCTCCACGAACGCAACCTTGGCATGGTTTGACATGGGGATTGGCTTGCGATCTCCACCGCTAATCATCCACTGAATGGTGGTGAAGTCGGCAGACAGGTCTAGCATGAGCAAAGGCGCGTGCATGGTTCCGTAAAGGACAGGCACGTAGGCGATGTCCATGCCAAGGCATTGATTGAACTTGGTCCAATTCGGTAGGTTGGTGATCGGATGTGATGGCGGTCGTTGCAGAGCGTCGCATAGCTCGCCCTTGAAGAGCTTTGCTGCAGATGTCGCCGCTGGTGAGCCCCCGCCGTTCTGGATGTGCCTCGGGGGCTCTTCGCCTCGTAGTGCATGAGAAAACTGAACAAGCAGCTTCTTGGTCGCTGTCTTCATGATAGCTGGTGCCTGCTGCCAATCGTTGTAGGTCTCCGCGCTCGAGCCCGTGATGAGTCCTGAGCTTTACGTGAAGCCTGTAGCGGGGCACGCGTCAGTAATGATGGGAACTCCGAGGATGGTCGAACCTCCAAACAGCTTCTCCAACCCGTACTGATGCTTCGTGCCCCCCAAGATTCACTCTGCCAGGTCGGGTGTCCATACTGCATAGTCGCTTGACTTGCCGCCTCGACCTTGAACTCTCCATGTCAATGATCTTGGGGGCATCGAACCTCCAGTGCATATGCCAATGCCACTGCTGAGGTAACAAGCCTCGTAGGCTTGAGCAGCAAATATCCGTTGTCGCCTTGTAGGCCAAGAGCACGCTGGCCACAACGAAACCAGATCAGCATATCTTTAGGTAGAGCCTGCAGTATCATCGTCCATTCCTGCGAGCATAAAAGGTTCTCCAATTGCACATGTCGTTTCTGCCCCAGTCGAAAACTTGACCACTTGAACGGCAAACTGTACATGTGCAAATGCTGTTGCCCGGCGTCTCCGACGTTCCTTCGGCGGGTAGAAGTTGTCGATGGGGGAGAGGCCGTCGCGCGGGAACGGGGCGATGGTGAGGCGCGGGTCCTCCTCCTCTAGCTCCCTCGTGGTTGCGGCTTGCACGCTTGGTAGTGGCAGGTTGTCGCCGGTGGTGCGCGGGCCCTTGCATTGACCCGTCTTGAGTCCGCCACTCGTTGCCATCTTCGTTACGTTGCACTCTCCGCCGTGAACATTCTTCACGACTGTCCCGGGCACGCGTCGCCGATGAGCATCGGTCCGCGAGACACTCCATGTAGCCCGCTGCTCGCGCCCTTGTTCTGCGATCCGTGCGACTACCTGCTTCTTCCAGGATTTCATCGTGATGCCGGTGTCCGTGGCCGCCTCCGACTGGATGGGTCGGTCGCCTTGAGGAAACTGAGCTTCTTCTTCAGCAGTCCACACATCGAGCGTCTTGGCGCTGACGGTCGGTGCTTCAGCTCGTTGTGTCTCCCTGGGGAAGTCCGTGATTTTGATCATCAGGTGGTTCTTCCTCGAGAATGGGAATCTTCGCAGGCTGGTCCGATAGCTTCTTGAATGTCACCTGGTTGCCCATGACCTTGACGACCGTGTCTAGGGCGTCCAACTGATCGACGCTCATGAGCATGAGGGCGTCCGAGTCGGGTAGCCTCTCGAAGATGAGCGTGCAGTCCCCCTGCCTTGGATGCCACTTGGTACTGCCTGTGTGCTTTCTGTTTGCACTGGCGCCGCCGTGTTGGTTCCCTTAAACACGCTTTTGGTTGGCATCTGCATGTCGGCCTAGTTGAACTTCTCCAGTTGGTTGTCGGTCGCTCGATCTCCGGCACATGGCGCCAGAGCTGCCTTGTCCAGTACCACGTAGCCCGGTGGTGCCGCATGGTCAGCCACCATCGTGTCGATCATGGTGTTCGGCACGCTGCTGACGTTGTTGGTCACCTCGGTCGGGTTGATCATGTAGTTCTCCATCGGGAAGCCGACTCTGGTCGCTAGCATGGCTCCGGCCAGGCCAATGCGAGCCAGAAAACCTCCAGCACGTCCTTTTCCTGTCCGCGTCCTTTGGCAACGCCGAAGGCGCCGCCCGTGCCGGCCGGGCCATGGTCTTGCTGCACTCTGGATCTCCGGCCCAGCGCCCCTTCTCGCCGCACGCGCCGCACTTGCTAGCCTTCTGGAAAACTCCAAGTCGGTCTTGAAGATCCTTCGTGCCGCAGCTGATATTGCCGTCAAAGTCGATGTAGGCATTGCCCTGCTTGAAGCCTCTGTTCGCCTTGCCGCCCATGATGAACTGGCGCTGCTTGGTGTAGTCGGGTCCTGAAAATCCTGCCTTGCCCTTGCCACGGCCCCTTGCCGCAATCGCGCCCACGACCGTCTGATCCTCTGCCGCGAAGGTTGAAATCTCCTCCTCGCTCATGTCGTTGACGTCGACCACCGCCATGGCTGTCTGGATCTCCTCCATTCCTGCTGAAAGGATGTCCATCTCGTCTCCGTCCTCCGCGTCGCCGTCCTCGTCTCCACTGTAGTTGCCTTCGTCCCCGTCGTCTTCGTCGCCTTCTGGGATTGCTCCGAAGGCTGAGTTCCACCGGAACTTGCGTCCTCCTTCGCGTCGCGGATGTCCGCCTCGCGCGCCCAGGTTGTCGACCTGGATCTCCCGGACCTCGCGAATGGCGTCCTAGTCGCACTCGTTCTGCGCCTGGCCCAGAAACGCCATGTGCTGCGTCTCGGTGATGCCACTCATGTCGAGCTGGAAGAAGGTCCTGAAGTCCTCCGAAACCTGCGTGCCTCCTCGGGTCAGGTCTCGTAGCTTCTCGCATGCTTGAGCTCGTCGCTGGATGAAATCTTTGATCGGCTCGTTGGGTCTGCGGCGCCCGCGCCGGAAAAATCCAAAAAACGCATTGTGCTTCTGTCGGGGGGCCACCTTCCCGCAGTGACTCCGTGCCGTCTTGAGTATCGCGTCCAGCGCGGCCTCGATGGCCTCGTCATTTTCTGCGTCAGCGTTGCCTTTCTTGAAATGCTTGCCGAGTGCTGTCACGCTGATTTTCTCGTCTTTGTGGCGCAGTGTCCACGCTTTGTCCGTCAGGCCGTTGTTCACTTTTGCGATGAAGCTTTTCTTTTTCTCTCTGTTTTCCATTCAGAGAAATCCCAGCCGAACTCTCTCTCTCTCTCTCTCTCTCTCTCTCTCTATTTCTCTCTCTCTCTCTCTCTCTCTCTCTCTCTCTCTCTCTCTCTCTCTCTCTCTCTCTCTCTCTCTCTCTCTCTCTCTCTCTCTCTTTCTCTCTCTCTCTTCCCATTCCTCTGCCGCTGCATCTCCGTCGTAGCATGGGGCGCCGTCCTTATCCAACCAAACGTGCGCTGCCCCTTTTTTCTCTCTGGTGATTGACATCTTGATGCGAGAAGGGTCGTCGTCGTCGGTGCTGCTGAACTCGCAGCGGTGCGAGAACTGGTTCTCGATGGGACATGTAGTGCCTGATCGCAAGAAACAGGTCTTTATATTATATGTAGAGTGGCAAGAACAAGCAAGTGACATTGTGTGCTCTGCATAACGGCCGTCCTCTCACACATTGCTCCGCACTACCAGTGCCAATGATAATGGGTGCACGATGTCTTTTATCGCTGCAAGCTCCGCGATGTCGACCGTTATGAAAGCGGTCGCCACGCGACCGACCACACACAGCAATCTGAAATCAGGGAAGCCCCAGTCAATGACTGGAACACATATGATCACTTGTTATCTGCTGATAGCTCAAAAGGGGATCCCCTGATATGATAAGAACACGACTGGCAGCGGCACATATTTTGTTATGTTATGTTGTGTTTAAAAACCTCGAACACCTCGTGAATGAAAAATATCCAAACTGCTTGATCTACTGCGTTTCGAGCCGGGCCCTCAACCTGTTCATCTTCGCACAAGAAAGGCCCAAGAGGGGGACCACGATTCGAAAATTCAAACCTTCCGCCCCGAGAGGGCCCCAGGAGGCCCCAGGAGGCCCCAAGAGGCCCCAACACTGCCCCCAAGAGGCTTCGAAACTTGCTCCAAGAGGCCCCCGAGAGGCCCACCACGATATCCCAACGAACATTCAAGAGGCCTCTGACCCACCACCCAGGCACGGTGGCGGGATGGGCCGAAGGCCAGTATATCCGCCGCCCCCTGCTTGCAGG